ATTATGGTGATATATTGTTCAAGTCACCCGACATGGATTAGTATCGGGATCAGCGCGTTTATGCACAGGAGTGGTGAATGGAGACTACAGCTATGATTTTAAATGACTTGATTAATTTCAAAACAACACTTCAGAGTCCATTACATCCAGCAGGTGTTGGGGTTCAGACTGCCTTCCCTTAAGCAGGGCAAGCATGTCATATTTATTGCTTTTTTTTTTTTTTTTCTCTTTAATGTTTCTTTTTATTTTTTCCTCTCCTCCATCCTTTCTTTCTGTAAATGCCCGTGGCCTTGGAGGCAATGTGGATCAAATTCCCATTTTCATAATTCAGAGGGCAAGATTCAGATAGCCAAACTGTAATACGTTCCTTTACAAAGTTTGCTGGGGACACAGCATTATCAGTGTGAAGACCATGACTGGGTGAACAGCAAGGCTGTTTTGTTGGCTCAGGGTCAATTAAATAATGCCGAGCCTGCATAAAACATCTGTTTTAATGAGCTTTTGATCTAATAGTGCTATTTGAGACTGTGAATGTCAGCATCTACTTGTGCTCTCCTCTGATTTTATGCCAGACAGAGGCAGGTATTGCTGTGGATGCCAAGAGCAGACTCTTCATGGCCCCATCCCTTGTCCTGGGGTCATTACTGTAGAGTGGGAGAAAAGGACAGAAAACAGAGAAAGCATCTGAACTTTTGAGGAATGATTGGATTTGGATAAAGCAGGGAGAGTCGTGATGAAAGCTTTTCCAAACATCGTTGATTGTAGGGGCAGCCTTTTGTGATGATCAGATGTCATGTGCCTTTATTTTGTTCCTCCATTTAAGTCTTTGTGGCCTGGTCCGGCTGCTCTCTGTGCCTTATTTCAGCTAGAATTCTCGTTCCGGGCACACAATACACACATAAAATAAGGCCCTATTCTGTGAAGTGCCACTGAAATGACTGCTTGATGGCTGAGGTACTCCTTCTCATGAATAAAGGGACAAAAGTTTGGGGCTAATGAGAAGTTCAGGGTTGGAGTGTTTGTTTTGAAGACAGTAGCACATTCTGTAGGCAATGGTGTGGAGGCAAGGGAAATTCTGACTGGGGTCAGGAGTTTCCCAAAGGAAGCAGCTTCTGTTTGCACTGAAAGTGTAACTCCTCTTAGCAGGGGTGACACTACATCAGCCTGCTCTGAAGTCTGCTGAACTGGAGGGAGCCTGTCCAGACACACGGAAGATGCCTTCATAGGGCAAGAACCATGCACAGCTGAAACACAGATGAACAACTTTTTGGAGAATATGGGGAAATTGATATAGAACCTCTCCAAAGGCTCAGTTGAAAAGTGATGCCTAGAGCTGATCGTGTGCTGAGTGAGCATCTGGGATGATTCAGATGCTGCACTGTGGGAACTGTGAGTAACTCATAAACCTCTGTGAATGAGTTGTCAGGAAAAAGTGAAGCGTAATTAGGAAATGCTGATGATTGTTTCCTGTGGTAGTGATGATTTGGAATGTCATTCCTAAAGGGGAAACAAACAGTAGAAGGCTTGATTTTTCCCTTTACACTTCATTACACAGGTTGTTCTTCTGTGGAAGCGGTGTATTTACTAAGAAAAAGTCCTTTACAGTGAGAAAGAAAGTGGCCCAGGAAAGCACAGTTGAACTAATGTGCTGCAGAAAAACAACTCTTGGATTGCTAATTACATTCCCTACGCTGCAAAATCTTCCTGCATATGACACAAAAGGCACCACTGGCAGCTGAATATTTTTGTCTACCTCAGATTTGTCACTTCTTTGCTATTTTTAAAGTTTACATCTGCAATGCATCATCAAAGAGTATAAAGACTCTTTATAAAGTATAAAGGGCTATTTCTAGCTAATACTTTTTTTTTCTTTTTTTTCTCTTTTTTAATTGGCATCATTTCTTGAATAGCAAGGTTGGAAAAGGAAATTGACATGTTACATTTAAGAACATGCTTTTTTTTCCAAAGATCTTTTTGATATTAAAAAGAAAAAAAAAAATAAAAACATAATGGTGTCTTGCCATCTTACCTGGTGCCTTGTTTGGGAAGGACACCTAAATATTTGCAGATGTTGTTTGAACCTTTTCTTTAGGTGAAGGTCATGCTTTTACTCTAGAACAATGCATATATTTATCTTAAACTCAAGATAGACTTTGAGTGAAAACTGAAATCCAGATGTGTCCAAATACAAAAGGCTTGGCTGACCCGTTAGTGATGTGATAATATTCACACATTTCAAAGAACTTAACCATTTGCTATCTCAAATTGTTTCCCTTTTTGGTTGGGCTAATCTCTGTTTTCAATATTCTCCTTTATCCATGGGTCAGCAGTACTGTTCCTTTGGGGAAAGCACTGGGCTGAGATCCAGGTTGCAGGTTGCATCTTTCAGTGTTAGATGTTAAAATGGGGAGAGAAAATAGATATTTTTTGTCCTGTAGCCAGTACTGTGCACCTGTCTAAATTTCTTCTCTTTTTAAAATAAAGCTTTTCCCCGTGTATTTTTTTCCCCATTTAAAAGGCACTGAGTCACGTCAAAGCCTCAGGGTGTCTCAGCATCTTTCTGATTCCTCCCAGAGCTCATGCTGATGATTTCTGGTGGGGGAGGAGATGGGGGAGGGGAAGGGAGTGGTGGCAGACCTGAATCCTAATCTGTACATTTAGGGGCACTTGGCAGCCCCCAGGAGCAGCTCAGCAAACAGCAGCCGTGGTGTTTCCCACCTGTGGCACTGCAGAGCTGGCTGAAGGGCTTGGGAAACCATTCCTTTTGAAGCCGTTCGTGACCTGAGGCGTGTTTCTGTGCAGGCGATGCACAGCCTCCTCCCCTCCCACCCTCGCTAAGCAATGAGACTCTGCACGCAGGCACAGCCCAACTGCAGCCGCTCCGTGCAATACCCAAGCCATCATATTATTTGTATTCCAGATCCCATTCCTCAACACTGTCAATTTTTTCCCTCGCAGAGAAGCGAAAAGACAGTTTAAGGGACTTTCGGTGACATCCCCCCTGTTTAATGAAGCTTGGAGTTATGGGCAAGTGCCTCGAAGTGCCGTTATTATCTGCATGAGCGACTGAAGGCCGAGGGTCTGGCAGTGTGCAAAGAGCTCCGCCGCAAATGTGCACATTGATCACTGCTAATCAGCCCATCCGGGTCAGGGGTGCTGCCAAGACAGAGAGCTCTGCAAAAGCTGACAAATGGAGCAGTGGAGCTTGGGGGTTAATGTAATATTCAAACAGAATGAGGTATTCATTTTCTTACAAGCTTGTCACTTTTCCCTTCCTCTGACATTTTGCTAGGGAGTAGAATGAAAAGGCAGGGAGAGGGTGAGAATCTATGAGAGAGAAATGTCCTAACCAGGGAGAAAAAAAAAATAATCCCAGTTGTGTATTTAACACACTGTAGGAAAAAGGGATCGGGAATCAGAGCATTCACAGCATTTCTAAATCCTCTTTTTCTTTCTTTCTTTCTTTCTTTCTTTTTTTTTTTGAGAGAGAGAGAGAGAAAGTTTTGTCTTTTGCTATAAGGCTTCTTTTTTTAAAAATTTCAGATCCACTGTTCTGAAGGCTGTGTGCAAAACATACAGCGTGAATCACTGTCTTACTTGGGCTTCTTGCAAGGGTGAGAGAGGCTTGAGTAATGACAGGTCCAAGCTCCAGTAAGATCTTTGCTGATTCCATAATTACTCCAGTATTACAGTGTTGAATCCAGCTGCTGTGAAGGGAACTGTCCTAAGAAAACCCAGAATGTCTGTGAGCTGTAGGATTTTGTGCAGTGCAGCAGAGCTCCTGGGCCTGAGATGAAGCTGGGATCCGACTCTGGCCCCTGATAAATCTGCCCATTCTTTCTCTATACAGCTGTGGATCAGAAAATCATTCTTGAGAAATTAATCCTGTTCTTTTATTTTTTTCATTTTTTTTTTTTTCTCCAGTGGAGCTTCTTTCTCATCAGAAAAGTTTGAATTTTTGTCATTTATTTTGGCTCTCCCCAGTCTGTTTCCTAAGCATCTTCTTACTCTTATAAAGTTTGGAAACATCCAGTTAGCAATTACAATGAGGGCACTAATTGATTTTGTTCATTTCATCCCAATTGCTGAGTAATAGTGTAGGTCTGCCTTGCATGACTTCATCTCTTGACCAGGAGATTTTATGGGGATGACAGGAGGAAACCTCTGGCACTACAGGAGATACCCACTTCTTGTTTTCTGTCTGCTCTCGGTACTAGTTTCATGCTGAAGTTGGAAGTGGAAGGTAAGAGGAGGAGGAAGAGGAAGGGAAGCATATTGCTACCTGTCTTTGAAACTTTGGAATGTATTACAGCTCTGGTTAAAAAATAATGAAAACAACCTATTAGTTTCTCGAAATATCAGATCTGACAGGAAAGTGGAATAGCAACTGCAACAATACATTGAAAAGTCCTAATATCTCTTTGTTTTTCCTCACGTAAAGCAAAAGGCACAGAAGACGGAAGGAAAACCTGCGGATTAGGTCAGTGGGCTGGGTCCTGGGAGGTGTGAAATCAGCTCTCATTTCCCACTGAGGTGGTATAACACCCTGGGATAAGCAGCTGATCTTTCCTCTGCTTTGTTTATCAGATGCTTTCAAATGTTCCTATTTCTTCTGTCTCTTTTGACATCAACTCTTCAAAGCTGGCATAATTTCTTAACATGCCTTTTAAAGAAGGGTTTCCTTCTAGCAAATGCCTGTCCTGCAGTACAGAAAAATAATATCTGTGAGCGTATACAACCAGAGTTATTTAATCTTCCTTTTACCTGCCTGCGATGCTGAGAAGCCAGCAACGTTTCTCTAAGGCAAGCTATGTCTCCTCATCAAGCTTCTGTCTCAGAGATTCATGTGCAACATTTCAGTTTACTCAGCCTTTAATCGGATGCCTGGCCTACTATGAGTAGCGTGCAGCTTATGACCTCTTCCCAATAAACAAGTTTTAAACAAGCTGCCACATCAGAAGTTTTTTTTTTTTTTGCAGAAAATAAATGTGAGACAGCAAGGAGAGCTCATCATTCCAAACAGTGCTCCTTTTGCTAGGCCACTCTCTTCTTCCTTGCAAGAATTAATTTACAGCTGTGGAAGAGTGTGACTGTCCCACTGAAAAGAAATGCTACGGTTTGCTTGAGCATGGAAAAATCTGCCATTCTATGGGGATTGAAGTATGCTTAATAAGGCAAAGTTCTTAATGAATTATCCTGAAATCACTGCTGTCTGTGACACTTTCTTCTGCTAGTTGCATGTGGTGTCAGAGTGAATGCAAATATCTTGCTCATCTGGGCCGCTGTCCTTTGGGCATCTGATGTTTTGGAACTCATTAGTCATTCTGACAGACAAAGAGGGTGTTTAGAGAATACCAGGAGTTATTGCCAGGTCTGTGGACCCTGATTCCCAAAAACACATTGTGCAGATCTTTTGTTTGGGATCGCAGTAACTTTAAGCTTCATCTTGATGTTGAAATGATTTTATTTGCTTTCTTCTCCCTCCTTTTCTTTCTTTTTCAAAATTTAAAAAGTGGTAGGAATGGGAAGTGATAGTGAAGAAAATGGTATTTTTTTGTGTGACTCCTGTCATCTTGGCTAAACTATTGTCATCTTTGGAACACTTCCTAACAGCTTCAGCAACAGATGATGAAGCTCAGATGGGGAAGTGAGTGGATTGTCCTTACAATGTGGGAGATCACTGCAATGGTAGGTAGGACGGAGAATGCTATGCCTACTGTTCCCTTTGTCTCTATGTCTGACGAATTCCTTTTAATGCTGCTAAATGTACTTTCCCTCATTTTCCCTGTCAATCCTGATGGAAAGCGTGTTTAAGCTTCCCAGTGCCACTCTCTGCAAGAGGTGGCATGCCAGAATAATGTCCTGAGTACCAACTGGGTGCAAAGCATTATAAATACAGGAGACTGGGGCATCAGTTCACAGATGTTTTAATGTGAGCACTTCCCTGGAATAAATTCCTCTCTACTCCATAAATTACCACCTGACTGGCTGAACAGGAGCTTGAACATGTACCCAAGCCTCAGTAGCCTCCTCCTACTGTTTCAGTACGCACTGACTTGGCCTGGCAGGTACAGAAACTCTGGAAACAAATGGAGGTGAGTATCACAAATTCTGTTATTACCTGTTGTTGGCATCAGTGTGCAGCTGAGGTCTGCAGTTACTGTAGGAGAAACATAAGAAACGTTGACACGACTTTGTACTGCTAAACAGCCCCGGCCCTCAGCATTTCACAGTTTGCTGATAATGTTGATTTTTCAAATAACATTTCTTATGGCTCTGTTCCCCATTATTTCTGTGAGAAGAGTTTAAATGATTTTAGACCAGAGGTGCCGTCACAAATATCAGGCAAGTAATGTGATTTTTCTCAAATAGCTGCAGCTTTGATGACACGTACCCTTTCCACTGGGGGGCTTAGCACTGATAAGCACAGCTGGCAGTAACAGTGCACATTTGCTTTCCTTCCTACCCCCTCTGGATTGTAAAATGTTCCAGGATGATTTGATAGTAGCTGAACTCATCCCTCTCCTCTGTCTCCTTCTGTGATGATAAAGAAGTCAAAATAATGTGAGATTGGTTTTCAATGGTCTTGCTTTTTAATATTAGGAGGAAGATATTGAGGTTTGGGCATGTGTTCTAACTCAGGGTCAATCAGTTGTAGGATGGGCTGAAAGTGATGGAAGGAATTGTGTATTTTCCTCTTCGAGGGGGAAATTGGTCAGGGGCAGAAAATGTGACCTTGGGCAAATTACCTAAGTGGACTGTGGTGGAGAATTTAAAAAGAGGGGAGAAATGCTGAACTCATCTAGTCGTTTTCCCTCTTTCCCACTAGATGGCCAGTTATGTTACATCCATAAACCCTTTTCTATCTTGCTATCTGGGAATCTCTAAATGACATGCGTGAGTCTCAATCTGCCACAGTCCTGATGAAGAATGCTAGAAACAGATCTCATGATTCAGGCAGAAAACTTTCAAGCGATACTCTGCTGGGTCATAAATATTTTTTTCCATCACTTGAATTTCATAATTTTTTATTCCCTCTAGAGATAATATTTAACAGTAAAAGCAAGGGACAAGTGCTTCTGTTAGAAGGCCAGGAACTAAAATGAGCAACATGGCTTGAAACTATGTTCAAGACGGAAGAGTGTTGTTTAGCCATGTTTTTTTGTTCAGTTTCCATACTACTTTTCTTTTTTTCTTTTAAATGACTTGGCACTGCTTTATCCTTCATGTGAAATTTATTATTGTCTTATTCACATTAATTTTGAATGCTTGATCAGAAATCTGATCTCTCTCTAGTTTATATGTTCACTTTCCAATAAAGCAATTAAACCCCAGCTGCTGTGCAGGAAAGAGTGTCTACGAGTCAGATCCTCTTCCCAAGGATTGCTCTTTTATAGATCGCTCTTTTGTCCACTTTGCCTGCTAAGAGTTTAATTACACTGAAGAAGATGATAAATGCCTGATAGTTTGCTTGGGCGTGGAAAAATCTGAGTATCCATAAAATGGTTCTCAGAAATGCTTCTATGGAAAGCAATAGCTCTCAACTTGCTATTCTTATCTGTACAGAACCAAAGAGTTGGTTGTCTCATATTGCATTATTCAAACCCTCTTGGAGAACTCCTTTTTTTGTTTTAGAACTACATTTTCTTAGTTTTTAGTCTAGGAATGTAGTGATTTACTGAAAAGCAATGGATTCTGTGATCTTTCTCTTTAGCTTTGCACTGTCTTGTACTCCCAAACAATCAGATCGCTTTCCTGTCAGTCGATTGTCTTTTCCAGGTATTCTAGAAATGTTTGGTCTGCATTTGCTCTTGTCCTTAGTCTTGGAAGTAAAGTACAAAGACTACAGGAACTGCAAATAAATGAGAGTTAGATGTAAACTTCAAGCTGGAGAGAAAGAGGTCTTAATGCTGAGGACAATTATTTCCTTGCAGATAAACACAGAGCTCCTCCAAAGGCACTGGAGCCAAGCATAGGAAAAACTGATGTGAGCAAGCAAGGACTGCTGAATGGTGACAGTGAGCCTGTATGCTGCTATATACAGACCTCTTCACAGTGGCCTCTGATTTTTGCAATCAGATGAAGAACAGGATGAAAGGTCTGGTTAAACCTCATTTGTTTAAAAGGTAAAAATCAAGCTGTTCAAAAAGAAAAGCCTACAATTTCTCCCAGAATTCTGTACTGAATATATATTTTTTTCCAGCCAAACAATTCCTGCCCTACTGGATAGAGTTAGGAACTCCTCCTTAGCAGTGAAGGTCATCTTTGAGTCTAGTTTTCTCTAATTTGAAAACATGAGACTGTAGGCATTTGAATGCCTTTACTGCACAGATGAAACTGCGTTGTATTATCTTACTGCTCAAATCTGGATCCTAATCCTCCTGTTTTAATAGATGGAATTCATGATCCTATTTCTGTCACTCTAGAAAAATCCTAGGTAATTTTCAGGGGGCAAAAAAGAACAATACCCTCCTGAAAATTAACTTATCTGCAAACATCTTACATTAGAATTTGCTATAAGGAACAAAGAGTGCACAGGAATTTAACAGACAACATTCTCCCATCAGATAGCGAGTAATTTTTTAATAAAGTTTAAATGATGCTGTTAAGTATTTTGAATGAATTTCCCTGTGGTCTGTTAAACACTGAATAGCATTTCCACAAGTGTGTTTTTTCATTTGTTTGTTTAAAATCTAAATTAATACCCTATCCCTGAACAGGATGGAATACACATTAGATAGAAGAGGTGAGTTCACATACTCACTGCGTCAGTGGGTTTGCAGAAGTATTCTGTTTGTGACAGTGTACAACACTCTTGTGCCAGTGAAGAATAGCCTGTATCTTGTCACTCAGGCTTTGCACAGAGAAAACAGTTGATGGGAGAGATAAATATCGAAAAACTGAGACAATCTGACAGAAATAAGGAATTGCAGGGAACAGGCTCTGAATCAGTATGCTTTAAAAACACCACTGCACGCTTCTTTTTCTCAATTTTCAAATAGGGTGTCAATTAGAAGCCTCTAAAGGAATTATGACATTCCTTCTAACCCCTTAGCACAGCACCCAGTGTTTTCTTACCCATCCCTTCCCCTTGATTCCTCCAGTCAGCCCTCTGCTACTCACACACGTCTGTCTCTGCATTTTCCATCAAACCTGGAAATGCCTCCTGCCTGCCAGAAAGACAAGATGGCTCAGCTGCCCTGCAGTCAATCCAACAGCTTGGCTTGCACAGCAGAGCCTGGCCAGCCGAGTCACATTTTGACCTCCTTCATCTGCTCCTCTGAAAAGTTTTGGAGCCACACAAACTCTTGATAGTGTTCTGCTCCTGTGTGCCAGAGCCCCCTGAACAACTCAGGCAGATCCGGGCTGGGCTGTGGGGCTGTGGTCATATTTTGTTTTGGAAGTGGTTACTGCAATTTTCTCTCATTACATCTTTTCCCCTCCCACCTGAATCACATTTGGCTGAGGCTCCTAGCTAAGCCTGGTCCTAACCCTGGCACCTTAGGCTCTTTCTGTGGGGAGAGCCAGATGCTACATGAAATGCAGTTCCTTTATGGTGGAGTGATGGCTTTGGAGAACAAAGGAAGGGCAACAGATGTCATCTACCTGGAGTTATGCAAGGCCTTTAATTTAATCCACACCACATCCTTATCTCTAAATGGAAGAGATATGGATTTGAAGGCTGGGCTATTTGGTGGATAAGGAATTGGTTAGGAGGCAGCAGCTAGAAGGTTATTGTCAACAGCTCTATGTCCAGGTGGAGGCTGGTTTTGAGCAGTGTCCCACAGTCTTAGGATCAGTAGTCTCTAACCCCTTTATCAACAGCACAGATGATGGGATTGAGGGCACTCTCAGCAAGTTTGCAGACAACAGCAACCTGAGCGGTGCAATTGGTATGAGAGGAGAAAGGGATGCCAACCAGAGGAATCTGGACAAGCTTGAGGAGTGGGCTCATGTGAACTGAATGAGGATCAACAAAGCCAAGCGCTTTCATGTTTGATTTTGGTGAGAGTGTGTTCTACGTGTTCTTTAATCAGCATTATTTCCTTAAAACACAAGCCAATATGTTTTGTGTATTGTTTCTACTTCGTTATGGAGAAGAAGCCTTGCTGGCTCCTGATGGTTTTTGCCCACACTCCTGTAAGGAGGAGAGTGAAGTCAGCATGTGTGAGTGATTTATGTTTTGTGCCTAGTGCAAAGTAGGTTAGCTTTGTCTGATGTTGTATAATGTCTTTAATCATACAAACAGGCCTGAAGTCCCTCTGTTTTGTGCTGTAGTAGCTTTTCATTTTATTGCCACTTCTCTTTTGTGCTTTGGCATAAGAGGGGAAGATGTGTGAGAAAGAAGTTCATCCTCTAAGCTTGCTCTTCAGGTCTTTAGTTTTCATGAGGACTTTTCCCTCACTGTTATTTTTCAGTGCTCAAGTGGTTTCTCTGCAGTTCATAAATCCTAAATTAACTCCAGTAGGTTTGTGAATCTTGATGTGAAAACATATATGAAATCCCTACTGCAGTGGTCCCTGAAGAAACCAACACTCACTCATGGCTTTTTATGTATGTAAAAGCTGTTGAGAGCTTTCTTATTTATCTATTGTGCCCATACCCCTTGTCTGGTTGCTCAACTGGCACTTTAATTAATCCATTAAACAGAGGTTAGATGGTGAAGTATGTGTGCAGATCGAACATTCCTTTTGAGGCAGTGGTTTGTTTTAAATGCTATCCACTACTGCACTGCATGCTAGGATCTCTGGTCAGGATGTTGGAGATGACCTCAGCACTACTCCAGTAGGGAAGAAGAGCTCAGCCATGTAAAACGACTTCAATTAATAGTTAATTACATGAGGTAGTGCTCCTGTGAGAGCAAGTTATCCCAAGTCATTTACAGCTACCCATGCTTTGTTGCACTACAACAGAATAAGGAAGAGCACTGAGAGTGCTGCCTTGGGATCTGCTGTCCAAAGTGAACAGAGCAGGTGGGGATTTTGGAGTCCAGTGAGGTCTTAAGCTAAGGAATGAGAAACAGTTTGCATATACTTGTCAAAGAGTAGGAATGTTTCTTTTCATTTCCACCCTTGTATCTCTAAGTGAGAAACATTTTGGAGTGAGCTGAGGTTCAAATTTTGTGATGGGGCAGATTATTGTTCGGAAAAACAGAGCTGGGGAAAAGAGAAGACAGTAGCACATTTTTGTGCTGAGGTTGGTAGAATGGAAATAATTATGACTCTGTAAGTGTCAGTCACTCTGTCTCTCTTTGTTTTGACACATTCAATTCTAGTGACTGGTGGTGAAGAAGATGAGAGCATTAGGGAGATTTGAAGTAAAAATTTTAATGGGGGGAAGCAAGGGGAGAAAAAAAGCTGCCGAAGATGATTTCTGGCAGGCAGTCCAGTTCCTGGTGCAGACAGATTGGCTGATGTTGATTGTTGACAGCTTCTCCAGCTTGCTAATTACAACTGTAAAATATTCAGGTGAATGACAGTTACTTGAAATGTTAATTCTGCTTTTTTTTATTTATTTATTTATTTTATTTTTGCAGCTGCAACTGTTAGTTGGCTATTGCTATAATTGATGGACACTGGCAGTTGCTCAGACAGATGGAAATTAATACTCGTGTTACCGTTAGAACTCGCTTTCACAGTCACGTTTTTATTAGCCTCCCACACTGAATTAATGTGTGCACGATGGTGCGTGTAGAATCATAGAGTCATTAAGGTTAGAAAAGACCAGTAAGATCATCAAGTCCAGCCATCAAGAAGGAGCAGCACAGATCCTACTTGCAGACCAGCAGGTGCTTGCTGTGTATTGGTGGGCCATGGTAAAAAGTAGTGAGGCTGTATCAAATGAGAGGCATCAGCCTGCCATGGACTTCTGGTGCTGAACCATGGGCTGAATCATCGCAGAGCTGAGCAAGCAGTTCAGGCTGGTTTTGGAAAAGTGGGTTTGGGATATTGTGCTGAATGATGCCCCACATGAAGTGGGCTCAGATTGGAATCATGTAACTTTTCTACTAGTGCTGTTAAAGCTGACGCATGTGCAAAATCTTAAAATGTAAAGCAGTGGTGTGGGTTTTACTATTGGAGACAGAACTTCACTCTGTTGTACATGAAAGGGGAAAGATGATGAAACAAGACTGAATTGTCATGCCTGGCTGCACTGAAGATATTTACTGGAAAACAAACGCTTTCCAACACCAAAGTTAACAAAAAATGGTCCTGTATATCACTCGAAGCTTGGAGATATGAACTCTGAGTGAAGTTCCAGTGCAATGGTGATACATAAGGTGCGTTTGTGTACAGGCTGTTTCTGTGCAATTTTCTTTCCTAAACCAATGCTTTATCTGTATTTCAACAGGTCTTATGTTGCATGGTAGTTTACTCAGGAAACCACGTGATTCTAATTCCTGCCCTCAGCTCCTATTTAGCAATGTGTCTTTTGAGTAACTTGAAGAAACATGATACTGAACTTTTTTGAGGCCCCAGAATTTCAGTATTTTCGAAACTTCTGCTTTTCCTTTTTTCAGGTAAGAAGGCTTGCTCACTGTAAAAACCTAAAAAGTGTTACCTGGATGGTTGTTTGCAGCTGCAGATCCTGCCAAATCTTAGAAGAGAGAAACGCTTGCGTTCAAGGAGAATGGAGCTATCCATCCAGTAGAGAGCTGATGCCTTACTTGTTAGCTTAATGAATGCAAGAACAGGCCCTGCACTTTTCCTCAACTTGAGAAAAAAAGTTAGATATTTTTCTTCTCCCACAATGATGTGGGAGTCTTAAAACGTACATTAGAATTGATGGAAACTTGTGGCTTAACTTCATCAGAAATGCAGCTATTATCTTGTTGAGTTTTAGTCATGTGAGTTGAAAGCAACTACGATGATGACTGAAAGGAAAATGCCCAGAGGTGGTATAAGCAATTAATAATGTGAATCATAGAACCATAGAACTATTTGAGTTGGAGGGGACTTTCAAAGGTCATTTAGTCCAGCTCCCCTGCAATGAATATAGACACCGCCTAAATCAGGGTGCTGAGAACCTGGTCCAGCCTGGCCTCAAATCTGAAGGTAGCATTGAGGTGAGGTTTTGGTAAATTGTGACATTGTAGGTACAAGAAACTATTTGAGAGATTACTTGT